TGAACAGATTTTGGTTTTTTTCAGTCTGATTTAATTTGGAAAGTTGCGCATTTCATTTGCTTTTATTTAGATCACTCATTTCCGGCTGAGAGAAACTAGGGCTTATAGATAATTTATATCAGGAAGCTACGTCGTAGGTAGGTTCGAGAAAAAAAACGCAGCAGATAAACTTGAACTTCATATAGAAAGTAATGACGTCATCGGAAATCAGATGAAAAAGAGCGGGAAAAGCTAGAGAGGAGACCGCGAGCGGTGAAAAGAGGGCGGCGAACTAAAGAAAAAATAAAATGAATGAACTTTAAAAAGGCGGAATGTCTCGAAACATTGTTTTATAGTTTTGTCAATGATTGATGCACAAATAAAGTCAATTAAACGTTTAAGAAGCAATTCTGTATCCAAAAAAAAATCTTTCTTTACAAAGGAAAAACGGTTCTTGCGAGCGACTATTTATATTTACTTTTTTCCCAATTACTTTGGATTCTCTGTCAGTTCTAAATAAAGACATGGCAGTTTAGGTCGGCAAAAAATTAATTCACTACTTGTCACGCGACAAAACAAAGAGTTATCTTATATAACACAACAACTGAGCAAATATTGAACTCTATAGGAAATTTTAAGTCCGATACAATCGTATCGGTAATCTATCACTAGTCTTGGATAAAACACAGGTATTGCAGAGCAGCGGGGTTTATTTTTCACTGATAAACCGACAAAGGAAACGCACAAATGGTTCGATCCCCTACAGACTCGAATCGTAATTCATTCAAACGACTGTAGTGCGTTAGGGACATGTCCTGACACGACCCAAAATAGGACCATTGCGTGCAAAACAATCCAAGCGAAACTTAATAAATCACAGATCTGTTACATTGACTGCGGTTTTCCTCGACGCCTACGCCAAATATCAGCGACAATGATAAAAATATCTCGCATAATCCTACAATACTAGAAAGAATATTACATATATGAAGGTGTTTATTACCCCAGTGAACCCAAACTATTTAAATTCGTATCTTAATGCAAGTTCAAAAGCTCAGCTCGATAGAGCGTAAATGGGGTCTAAACATAATCGATACTTGTAAAGAACGGTTTCAACTTCATATTCACGTGATAAACTTTGACGAACTTTTCTTATCAACTTATTGAATTTGACTGAAAGTCTACGAAATGTCAGAGTACATCTTGTAGGTCTTGGTAAGATTTCAACGGGATATTGTAATGGTGTGTAAGACAAGTTTATATAAGGCTAATTAGGGATTAATTGAAAAGGCGGTCGCGTGGGTGATAGCAGTCAAAACAACACTTCAGTGTTCCGTGTAGAAAATGTTGGCTTCACTATATGGGAGCCAGGTGTGGGACATGATTAGTTGTTCTTGCCCGGACTTGTTCTACAGTGGGATGAATCCCTACTTGAAAATATAGTAAAAGAGACAAGTTGTCGGGTTATTAATGGACTTAATTGAATTGTTGGAAGAAAGAAAACACAGTTTTGTTATTCACACTATCCTTCTAGGGAAAGAGTTACAGCTTTTTATAGAATTTGAGTTAAAACTAAAATAAAACACTTATGATTTGAAAAAATATAACTAGCTAAAAACTAGTGTGAGCTGCGTCTGTGTTTCTAATGAAACAGTAATGATGAAAAGGTCTTTTCACGGTGTATAATTTACCTTTTCACCATTTATGATTTGAAAACTGAAGTAAAAGAGTTAAGAAAATGATCGCTTAAGGAAAGACTGCAATCTATTGAATTTTATTTCCAAGGACGGAAGAAAGACTATACGTACACTTGGTAAATAACTAAGGAAAATTAAAAGACGAGAAAGAACATGAATTTGGAAAATGTCGATAAACTAAAGTAACAGAAGGAAGGAAGGAAGGAAGGAAGGAAGGAAGGAAGGAAGGAAGGAAGGAAGAAGAGAAGCAAGCAAGCAAGCAAGCAAGCAAGCAAGCAAGCAAG